GGCCGCACACACATGTGTGTACGGCCGTACACTCCCTCACATGGAGTGTATGGCTTGATTTCAAGGCTAAGAACTTCCGCGACTCAATCCTATACTCAATGCTTGAATGTACTGAGCTTTGAACCCTTAAACAGACTCTAAACAAGGCTAACTGATAGCAGAAACGAGTCTGACACATTGTTGGATTGAATGGTTGAACTTACAAGGCAAAGATTTTCGGGTTGTCACAGTAATATCCGTAACAAACACATCCATGTGTAATTAGGACTGCTCAAAACATTGCGCGATAGGGGCGACCATCCATTGCCCATCATTCTAAGGGGCCCAAAAACTTTATAGACTATGTAACTTTAGTATATAATGACTAGTCTATTATTAAGAAAACATAAAGATAAGAATGAGCCAAATTCAAAGACCAAAATATTAGGAAGAAGCAATAACATTCATATACTTTTGGTTATTCATAAAGAAGGTTGGTAGTTGTAACCAAAATGGGAGAAATCGAATCAAAAATTTGTAAATGGCAACCTATGAAGCAATCAAGCAACAATAGAACGGATCAGTCGATTATGTCGTCTTAATTCCTAAGTCTTAATCGTTAGGATTTCATTGCATATATCGTTTTAACCATTCTTGGCATTATAACATCAGTAGAGAGAAGTTTTTCAAAGTTGAAGATATTATAGAATTACTTAAGCTCATTGATTTCATAAGAAATATTGAACAATTTGACTAGTTTATGTAGGTTTAAAGATATGCTAGACAAAATTAATCTTGATACTAATTGTTTTAGAATGACAAAGAAAATCAGCTTTGTTGGATTCAAACTATTGACCAACCGGCAAAAAAAAGCTACATAAAGTTTTAAATCAAAAAAAAAAAAAGATAGGCCCATAAATTTGTTTACATGGAAAATCCACAGGTAAAACCCATTGCCCTACGAACTACCCACGGGTTGGCCGTGGGCAAAGATGTTTTTATTTGTGAACAAATGAAATGATTTATGTATAGATCTTGTTTGTTATGTATAATTAAAAAAACTAAATAGAATAATATGAATACATTAAGAAAAGAATAATTATCATATAAAAATAAAGTTTAATCAATGTGTCATTAAATTAATTAGATGTAAACATGTCATTCAAAATACATATTGTACAAAGTTTAAACATTAAAAACAATGTTTACAAAATAGAAAACTTAAATACAATGAAATCTTAAAAATACAATTATACTAGAAAATACTTTTAGTTATTTTTGTAACATGAAAAAACAGCTTTATTGAAAATTTTAAACAAGGAATGCATTTTGTGGGGAACAAACAAAAATTACATTTAATTTGCCTTAATTATTTCATTTTATATATTCTCTCTTGGAGATCCTTCATACAAAACACTACCTTAGTTATCCAACAAGAGGAAGTGCAGGAGAAATTCATGAATCCGAGCTTTTCGCACATACCTATAAACCTTGTATTTCAGTAAGCCATTCTGTTTGTTGCTTGGTTAAATAATCTATATTGTATAAGTGAAGTGGTCGTTTTGTGACATCTTTTTATTTAAAACCACAATTCTAATCAAATAAAAGGATAAGCCCAATCAAAATAACATAACACATATAAAACCCTTAACAAAGTCATAAATCTAATAAGCGATCAACATGTTGTTGGTAGTTTTGCTTAATAGCTTATTTATTTGAACAAAAGAAATGTGTCAGACCTTGGGTTTGTGTTCAGGCCTGTGACTGAACTCAAAGTCAGTATGAACAAATGCCCGCTCAACTTGAGGCAGCTGTTCAAGCTTTTCTTGTAGCATTTCACCAATATTATGAGCTTCGCTCAGCCGCATATCCTCTGGCAACACAATGTCTACCTCCACAAAATAATGAGAACCAATTGTGTATGCTCTGACTGTGTCAATATGCTTTATTTCTTCATGGTGGTTCCATACCAAATACGTCAATTTTGTTAGAAATTCCGGTGGAGCCGATCTCCCAATCAATGACCCCACATTCTCGATAACCGTTCCCGACCAGTTATGAATCGTATAGACTGCTATCTGCAAATGGAATAACAACCTATTTTCATTGATTTTTTTTATCCAAATACAAAAGGTAAGTTTATAAAAGTTCCAAGTTGTAATAAAAGAGAAAAAAAAAAGAATTGAAAGTAAAATGTTGTAATAGTCTAATAGATAGGAAGGATGGTGTAATTAATGTAGATAGAAACAAAAGTATGTTTTGCTATGATAGTCTGGTATGTTTGTATACTCACAGTTATAGCTCCAACGGGATCAATCCACCACTTATAGCGCACAGCTAAGACAGTCGAAACTAATCCCACGGAATTGGTGATGACATCAAACAAATGGTCCTGAGCATACGCCCTCACAAGTTCATTTTCGAATCTACGGCAATAGACCATCAGCATAAACTTGATCACCGTCACACTCACCATGATGCCAATCACCCATTTCTCATTATCACGATTCATGTCCGGGATTGTCTGCAACCAAAAAGATAAATATAAATATATTACGGAGTATTAATTAACATATATTTTTTGAAGCTACGTACACACCTTGGAAATGAGTTGTCTGGCAGACTCTAGCAATATCTGGAACCCAAGAGTTGCCATTACTGAAGCAAAAACAATAATGCCCTGTAGTCGTACTAACATGATTAGTTCCAACACTAGTAGATAAATAGCTGTGCATTTACATATACCCCTGATTTTGAAAATTATATATTTTGTTGAAAAAAACACAACCAAAGAGCTTACAACTGGCTGCATCCTCTTCTTTCCGATTGGATAGTGATACTGATTAGGGTTTCTCATAGCATATGAAGTAAACCATAAAATAAATCCGGATAACAAGTCCAAGAGTGAATCCAAGGTTGATGCAATGACTGCTAGAGATCTGCTCTCAAAAGAAGCATAAACTTTTGCAATGAAAAGGACCAAATTAGCCAGGTTTGACACATAGATTGCCATTCTCTCACTCTTAGCAAGATTCTCTATTTCATCCTGGAACAAACAAAAATAGTCACAAGATTCATTGTGCTTTGTAATAATTGCAACTAGCATATGGATTCTGTGAAAACGTGCATGTATGATGAAACCAACCTCTGTTAATGCTCCTGGTACACACCCTGATTCGTTTATTGTTTCCATCTCATTGAAACCTTCAAGGAGTCTTTCCTGTTTCTTATAGTACTCTTGAACCTTTCCGTGTTTCCCTGAAGATAGACACAATTGTGTAAGCAATAACAACTGGTGAATGGCAAGGCTTATAGTATAACAATAGCATCCACAATAGGACCTTACTGGAGACCTTTTTCGGTAAATAATTTTGTCAAAGTCAAAATAGTTATTATGACAACTTTTTCGTTACATAGCTTAATCACTTTTCCTGTACATTTACAGTTCAATAAATTAACAGATAATCTTAACTAAGTTTACTAGTTTATCTTATTAACTACAAATAGTTAAGCTTTGTGGTGCCCATATAAAAACTTTGTGAAAGAAAGCTTTATTACAGTGAAGAGATCTTAAACTCTTTGATTTGTTGAGTTAGACGCTTTGTTGCACGAAAAAGTTTAGTGAAAAAGTTTCTTAATTGTGGATGCGTTAAATTGGGGTGTTTTTTTTTTTTTTTTGTCTTTTGTCATGAAGTTCACATAGGGGTGTTCGTTTGGATGGATCGGTTCGATCCGATCCAATTAAGTAAATCCAAATTGATTTCGGTTTTTCAAAATATGGATCCAAATAGTCCAAACTAAATTCAAATCCGATCCGATCCGATCCAATTACAATTCGGTTGAATCGGTTTTTATAATTCGGTTTTCAAAAACCATAACATTTTAAAAGGACATAGAATTATAATATGATCTAATTTTACAGAAGAAGCAAAAACAAATTATTTACTTGTGATTCAAAATGTATAAACAACCACTAAGAAGATATGTTATAGTTTATTATTTAATAGATAAAAAACTTTTGAGAGAAAATACATATTAATGTCTTTTATTAGGTAAAACTTTTTGAACTTATTTAAAAAAATTATAAAATTAATAAATAATTATAGATATATTGAAAATAAATAAATAACAAATTGTTATTCGGTTTTTTTGGACTATTCGGTTCTTATTTTATAAACCAAAACCAATCCGAAATCCAAAATAATAATTCGGTTTTGTTGAAAACCAATCCAAAAATCTGAATATCCGAACCAAATAGTCCAATCCAAATTGTCCAATTGGACAATTCGGTTTTATCCAAATAGTGAACAGCCCTAAGTTCACATATCTGCTTATCAGATATTTATAAAGTTTGTGGGTTTTTTTTTTTTTTTT